CGCTTCATATTTTCTTTTAACTAAATGAAGGCTTTTAGTCAGTAGCAGACGTTGCATCTTTTCGCCTGACATGCATATATTGAAAATTCTATCATTTGAAGCGATTCTTTTTTTTTTTTTTTTTTTTTTCAGATTCTGATTATGAGTAAAAAAACCTATGCGCATGCGTTGCGTGAATCCCAAAAGGCTAGCACTCTTTCACACCATACCCGGATCGGGGCAGGACGCGAAATTTATTGGTCCCAAACAGACGCACGCGACTTTTTAACACAAAAAGAGTGGCAGTCCAAACCTTTCTTTAATTTGTACAGAGACTATCAAAAGAACGTTCTTTGAATATACCATTTCTTTCAGGAATGTTCCTTGAACATTTTCTACGCAAAAACTTACCGATAAAAATAATGATTTATAATTCATTCTATTCCACTTTCTTGTTTGTTTATTTTCTCAAACGATTCGATTTTATTTAATTCTATTTTTGTTCAGCAACACACAACACCTTCTCAACCTCAAACGACAACGCCAAACACAAGTGTTAAAAAAAAAAAAGAAAAAATTGGTCCACTTCATAATTTCACAGTACTTTGGTGGCGGAGTTCACCACATTAATTTAACTTTAGATTAAAAAGCAGAACTGACGCAAAAAAGGATAAGAAAAAGACATTGTTACACATAAAATATGTATTTAACAAGATGTACAATATCAAACAATGATGTGAAGGAAAGCATGCATTTAAGTAAGAAAATGTTGAAATAAACAAGAGTTGTCTTTCTTTATCTGTTATTTTAGTTCAAAGTTCACTGGAATAATGTTAATGAGAGTCTCTTATAATGACTGTTCTTAAAAGATTTGCCATGTTAGAAAAGATTATGTGAGTATATACAATGTATGTTCAGCATTGAGTGGTGTGTGTGAGTGAGAACGTTTGCGCATGGTTTCATCTGTCGTGGATTCGTTTGGCAGCTGAATCCTCACTAATTAGCTAAGAAAAATTCTTGCTTAACTAAGTGACTATATGTTCCAGATCGCTGCGCGGGAAGAATTATTAACCCCCAAACTGGGGTCAAAACCCTATCAACGTGTAAAAATAGGTTTTTATAGTAAAAAAGAAGTGCAATACATTTTTGAAAAAAAGGTAAAAGAAAATTAAAAAAAAATATCTTACAGGCGATACATTTGACACTCGGCAAAAACCGTTTTTATAAATATAAATATATATAGAATCTTTTTACGATGGCTTCAAAAAATACGTCAATGAAACCTGATCTACAAGGTGAGTTCTTGCAAAAGATACATATTCTATTCATACGAACCTATCATTAAAAAAAAAACTAGTTGATATTAAATAATCCATTGAGGTTAATCTGCCTTAAAACAAACTGTAAAATAAACGTTTTATATTATCGTCTCTGAAGATTTACAGACACACTTTCGTTGATCAAGTTGACCAGAACCTTAATAGTGCTATCTTCTTTGATCAGGTTCTGATCAACACAATTATGATATAAAAAAACCCCAAAAACTTGCTTGTAACTTTTAATAATTACAAAAATATTAATGAATAATAAGTAGCAAAAAAATAAAGTATTATTCTTACAATCAAAATATTTTTCGGCATTAAATAAATCACAAAGTGTTTATATATATATATATATATATATATATATATGAATATAGATTGTTTCAAACACTAATAATCATGGTTATAATTTATTACATTGGAATCGTAATTAACGATTCAATACATCAGACCTACAAATTCAAAAAGCTTTTAGAATTTGAGGGTCTGATGAATTGGAACGTGATTACGATTCCAATGTGATAAATTATAACCATGGATTATTAGTGTTTGAGCCTATTATATTATTGTTTCTGTCCTGGACATTGAGGTTTACCTGGATTCTATCCTCTTGGAAATTTATATATATATATATATATATATATATATATATATATATATATATATATATATATATATATATAGTGAGGAGAACGAAAGTAATATATAAATTCTAACGTTCACAGCATTAATCTAAAAGAGGGCTCAATACCGATAGTAGAGCGATAATTATTTATTTATAATAATTTTATCATATAGACAAAACTATTTTACTCATTACAAAGATCAGAGCATTTCATTTTGCATTTCGACGGGTGAGAATCGAAATCATTCTCACCCGTCGATGTGCAGTTTGGGTAAATAATTTTATCTATATATATATATTATATATATATATATATATATATATATATATATATATATATATATATATATATAACTTTATATATATATATATTGAAAACTTCCATGAAATTAGATTTGTTTAATAATATATTTGATAATGCATTTTCCCAGCTTTTCTTGTATGGAATTAAAGGCAAATCCTCTTCTTATTATCAGAACGTTTCGAAGGTAAGAATTTCATTTAGCCTTTTCTGAAATGGTCCCAAGGTAAATATTTATAGAATCCTTTATGATGGTTTGAAACAAAAGGCTAA